GGAAAACCACATATTAGCCATCTGTTATGTGAGATCTGCCCAAAGTCCTACATTTTGCCCATCTATTGACTGTTGACCATTAGAATATGCCTGACCTTTCCAAGTTCCTCCTAAGACACAGAAAGCAATAATTACCAGGGGCTTATGGCCATGATAATCTATTTGATTTTCAGCAAATACCAATGTTTAATTCTGCTATGGAGTTGCATGTTGATAATTATTCTAAGTGAATCCTACACTTTGGGTTCTCTTTTTAATGTGACAGGATTGTGGTTTTCTGAGCAGTTTCAGTAAGAATGAAGGAAACTGTTACTCCTCTGGAGAAGACAATACTACCAAAGGCATTACTGCTCAAAAGCTTTCACTTAGGTAAAGACAACTCAGTATTCTGAATCTCTACAACACAGCCATCTTTTCTGTGCTGTGTTATGTATAAAGCAAGAATAAACTGTAATCCAGGGATTGCTGCCTGAAGAGTGGCACCAGGGCCAGCAAACATACACCACTATTTATACAGCTACTTGTAGTCCCAAGCTCGTCCCTTTTTTCACAGGAGTTAGTGCTCTAATCTACTTTTACCAGGAGTATTTTTAAATATTCATTCAGTACACCTTGGTCTTCATTACAAATATTTGCAAGGAAAACATGTCACTTGAAAGGTACAATGGAACACTACCTTGCCTGTCTTCTGCTCCAGGGAAGTTGAAACTGGAAACTTAAACAGAGCAACTGGCAGGAGCAAGCTGAAGTAATCCAAGATCTGGAAAAGCAAATAAGAGTGGAAAGGTCCAGTATCAGCAGCTGATTTTAACAAGCATAAAGTATTAACAAAGGAAAACTGAGTTTGCAAATAGTATTAGCTGGTTTGCCTATTCTTTATTAAAACCTGCTTTTTTTTTTGAACTCTACTTGGTCTGTGACACCACTCTACATATAAGAACTAAGACAGGAGGAAAAAGAAATTTCTAATCACTTGCAGTAAAAAGGAGTCTGGTCAACAAAGCTCTTCCTTATAAATGTCAATAATACACTGTCCACAATTATAATTAGATTGCTTGAAGATGTGCCTCCAGAATACTGGTTTACCTTTATTTGAATTGCTATGCTTGTCAAGCTCTTTTCAACACCACCTTAGCCTAAAGTTTAACTAAAGAATTAAGGATGATTCCTTAATGTTCCTTTTGCCAATCAAAGCAAAATCTCTGGCTGAGTATAAATAGCAATTCCATTGAAATGCAGCTAACAAATCACCTGATTACTGTCCAGATCCTTGAAATCCAGCACAGTGATATGCACTCGTGATGGAATATCAACATAATAGCAAAAGATGAACATAATTAAAGCTGAGTATCCATGAAAACAAGCATGAAGTTTGCAATATTTATCTCCTGTACCTCGCCTGAAAACAGGGGAAACAAGTAAAATAGAAAATAGACCATTAATACATTGTGCTGTGTAGCTCAAGGACTTCTTATGTTAATGGTTTCAACTTCTGAGGGTGGAGTTGTATTTTTCAAAATAACGAAGTCCAAGGCACTCAAACCCAGTCTTTTCTTCATTGTTACCTCAACCACCTGCAGGAACCCCCGCTCCTCTCTGCAGGTAACCTCGGCCTCCCTCTCTGACACATCTCCCTGAGGGACCACAGTCTCTTCAACCTCCATTTAGGGTCCTTTCATGGGATGGGATTCCCCTCTAAGCACCAGGAGAGGAGAGCTCTTTGTAACAACTCTCCAATCTGTTCCTTGTAGGAATACAGTTAACATACTGTCCTGACATTTAAGGAAGGGGAGGAGGAATTAGTCTTAATTAAGGGGTTATGCAGAAACTCTTTTAACAGCTGAGTCACTGATTGGCTTCTGAGAAAATGAGCAACATTTACTTGCACAGTCACCACCAAGACTGAATCAACACAGAAAGGGAGGGGTTAGTCACAAAAAGGACTAGATCCAGCTTAAAGATACAACAAAAGAAAGCACATGAATCATGTTCAACTAACCCAGGTTTCATTTTCACTAGTAAAGCTTTCTAAATGCTGATTATGAAGCTGCTTCTCATACAACCCAATTTTATCCTTCGTATGTGTGCTCATTATAACATGAAGAGGTAACTACTTCACAACAACAACTTACAAACACTCCAAAGCGAAAGGTTTCCAATTCTGACATTGGGTATTCACGATGGATACTCAGAATTACCCTGTAACTTTAGGGGTAATCGTATTTCCTTCATATAAACTCAAGCACCCAAAAGAACCCAGCACACATTTTAGCACCAAATAAAACAAAACCAGATTTGGTTAGGTTTTAGGCCTTAAAAAAAAAAAAAATTAAAAAAATCAAAAGAAAAACAGAACAAGCAAACAAAAAAATCCAATTACATACGCATTTTAACTCTGCACTTGGAAAACATGAGTTATAAACTACAAGGATGCACAAAGAACACATTGTGCCAAACATATCTAAGAGTTTTATTTGATAAATTACTGGTATAGTAGAGAAAGACAAGAAGAATGAACATAATTTATTAAGACCTTCTTTAAAGCGTCCATTTTCCCCTAGAGCTTATGGAAATAGCAAAGCAAAAAAACATGTAGCCCTGCAAGAATAATTTAAATGTAAGTGAAGAAGCCACAGGAAGGCAAACAAGACATTTAAGGTATTATTTTTAAAAGGAGAAAATATGGATTATACTGCCCAACTGAAGTTTCACTTAGAACTAATTAATCTTAATGCACAAAATAAAACATTGCCCATACAGCAACAAAATATTTGGAAATAATCAATTTGCATTTTGCAATCAGTCTCATGTTAGAATCTGAGCTATAGAAGTCAACAACAGTTTTCTTGCAGGCTTAATATATCAACATTTGGGCCTCTGTAGTAAACATAGCCAATTCCTCTGAAGCTGTTTATATACACACTAATGACATTCTATACATAAATCAGATGACACAGTTGAAAAGTGACAGTATTTTTAACTCTTGCAGAAATAGACAAAATTATAAATACATGAAATAATATAAATAAATGTAATTGACATAAATGAAGCTGCAGACACTGGAGAAGAAAGAAAGACTGACATGTATAAAACTGAATAATTCAATTTACTGCAAATTCACAAAAGGATTCATGTGACAGACAACAAAATGAATATGAGAGGATTATACATTGTAACTACAAAAAGGCAAATCCTATAAAGTACACACACAGTTGTAATATGCATGACAAGTGGATAATCTCATGTTCAACATTAAGTTACATGAGTTGACCTAAGCCATTGTTTTCCATAGCATCTCTATATCCTCCAGTTTTCACAACATGTAAAAATATTAAGTAAGTCACTAGCAAAGCCAATGGAAAATGCAAACATACAATTCAAAGGCTGTCAAACTAAAATATTTGACTATTACTACAGGCTTTCTGTAATACACTCTTCTCATTGCACTCAGACTGAGACATATACCATAACAGAGGTAACAAACTATAAGAAACTGGAAAAAAAACCCTGAAAAATGAACTCAAATGAAAAAAGTTTAATAAATAAATTAAAAAAGCACGAGAATTTCTTTTCTGCACACAGAATGTACCTTTTAAAGACAGGAATTTTACTCTGCTGTCATTCAAAGATTTAAAACTACTCAGAATGTCTAAAAATGCATTTGAAGGGAAATGTGAAAGCAGGTTATGAAATTTGGGGGCCTGCTATTTATTGGAGATAAGAGACATCTTGTCCTGAGGAAAAAGGAAAAACATTTAGCGGCACTTTTCCATTAGACATTTCAGTGATTCAATTTAAAACTAAGATCTTAGCACACGCTCTGGAATGTCTTACTTGAATCATCAGCATCCAGCATTTGAAAACTAAATACTCAGAAAGCTGCAAACTGCTTACAATTGACATATTGTGTGCACATATTCTTTGAACTGAACTTTTCATATTCCTGTTTTTAAGTGTCAAATCATTAACGATTTTTAATGACACTAAAGCCCACAAAAATAGTCTGAGCCTAAAATGTGTTTCCTGTCTCAAAAGCAACTTTCACCTGAGCATCGCTGAGCTCACATTTTAGGCTTCAGCCTAGAACCAAGAATAAGTGGAGTTGTGGGGTTTTTTTGGGTGGGGGAGGTGCGGGGGGGAAGAGGGCAGGTGTTTTTTTAGTTCTTAAGTTCTGGAATTTACTAATTTCTTCAGTGACTTATGAAAGATCTGCGATATGAATCTGTTCCTTGAACACGTGGTATCCTTGGGAAAACACAGCTCCCTCTGCCCTGTGTTCTCACCCAGCCTGCCCACGATCAGCTCAAATCCTTTCGGAACTGCTCTGAGAGCACCTGATCCATCACTCGGGACAAAGCTCGTAAAGCACCAATAACGATTTTAAGCGTTAGTGCCTTACCCATTAAACTTAAACATAACTCTGCGATCCAAACATAGGCTGGTCATTTCAATGACTGCCTTGGTTTTGCTGGGATTTGCTGCAGTACACTGTATTACTGGATTTGTTGTATTTCTGCCCAGACCGAGGGTCCCTGTCCGCACACCGAGTGAGAGGTGGTGGGCAAGCGGTCCCACCAAATAAAACACTTAAATTAGTGCGAACCGTTCCCGTGGGGCGGTTCGATACCCAAATGGGAGGGAGGGGAGGATGGAGGGGCAGCGAGGCGGCCCCGGACCCGCCGGGGGGCGGCACGGAGGGCACGGGGAGGCGGCACGTGCGCAGTTGCGCATGCGCAAGGTGAGGTGCGGGGGCAGCGAGGCACAGCGCTCCGCTCCCGGCTCTCCTCAGCGCCCGCTCCCCCCGCCGGGAAGCTCGGCAGAGAGGGAGGGAATGGGAGGGGGAAAGGAGCAAAATGGAGACTTACGCTCCCGCAGTGACGCGCATGCGCAGCGCCGCCTATGGCAGCGCGGGGCGGGCGGGGCTCTCTCGTCCCGCTCGCCCTTCCCTGATCTCAGCCTCCCTCAGCCGCCCCCGCCGGCACGGGCAGGGCGGTGCTGCCGGCCGGGAGTGTCCCGCCGTGAGGGGAGCGGCTCCTTGGCCACGGTGGCCGACCCTCCGGTGACAGCCCTCCCTCCACGGGCAAGGTACAGCTGGGGAGCGGAGGAGGAGCGCACCTGGGGCTGTGCCCTGGTCTCACAAATTGAGCCTCACAGATTGTGTGGACTTGGCATCGCAAGAGGTCACAGGATTACAAATAGGGAAAGTGATGTCGCGGTGTGTGTCCCGTGTTTGTGCTGCTGCCCAGGTGTCTGGTTTGGACCACACTGGAGGCGAGAGTTGTAACATTCCCGATAGTTTTCCTTTCCTCTGACGTGGCTTTAATCTTTGGTTCCGTGTAGCGCCGGTGAGACTCCCCCGCCCGTGCCGCGGTGCGGGCAGCGCTGATCCCCTTTTGATCTCCCTGGCACAGACAGGGCTGTTGGAGCTCCTCAGTTCGGGGTCGGACTCACACAGGGCGCTCTGAACCAGCGGCTCCTTCCAGAGCAGCACATCCAGCACCATCATCAGCTTCTGCCTTCAAGTATTTCTCCGTCCACCACTTTCCTAAAGGAAAAAAAGCATAGTTAGTACCGTCCTTTTGCTAAGTTGGACTGAGCTTTTGTAGTGAAGACAAGGTCTTACAAAAGAAAGCCAGGTTTCTAATGGGCCTTTGGTGTGTAGAAAGTTCATTTTCAGCCAGGTACCCAAGAAAGCTCTCTTAAATAGCTACTTTTAGGTATATAGAGGTATATTAAGTTGCTGAACATTACTTTTATTCCAGTGCTTCAGGCAATCAGAGATGCTGGGCTCAAGCCCAAACCTTGAACTTTATTTTATATTCTAAAGAAAATTAGTATGAAAGACAGGTTTGATGTATTTGCTGGAGCTGGTACCATTAAGAAGTGATGCAAAGGCACTTTTACTGCTGTATGAATGAGCACTGCCACAAATAATGACCAATAGTGCAAGTGTCATAACTTACCCTGTACATACATATTGAAGACATTGTTGTCACCAACTCATGAATGTGGTATCAAGTATCATTATTACTTAATGCCAACAGAGAGCCAAGACTGCCTTTTTATGCCACTGCTGTGAGTAATGCCTAGGTATCTGTACTCCCATAAAGCAAAGTCCCGAGCCTAATCCCAAAAATCACTCCATACTGAAGTGACAGAATCAATTCTCCCTGCTGTTACACATTTTGTCAGCCCTTTGTGGCACTGCACAGCGACAGGTCCCTTGAGACTGTTATCTGCAAAGCTCCCCCAGATATGTCCCTTTTACGGTCCATACACCTGTCTTCTAGGATTATGCAACTGAGAATCCAGCAGTGGCTGCCCTTCCTATGTCCACTTGATCCTGAGAAACATACTGAGCACTCATTTTCTTTACAGAAGCAAACACAGTGTGTACAATTCCCATATCTAGTGAAGTATTTTGCCATCAAAGGGTCATCTTATTTCTCAATTATCTTCTGCAGTTACACCCTGAATGGCAGACAGACCTTTGCCTCAAGTTACCAAGTCACTGCAAACGCTAATTTCGGTGTAATAATTTTTCGCTCTCTTTATGTTCCTGAAGTCCTAGCATGAAGTCCTGGTGGTTGTAATGACACTACAGTTTCCCATTGGTTTTATTACCTTGCACTGATTTGGTAGTTTTCCTGATGTCTTATTGAACTCACTGAACTGAGTTAATAAATAACAGTACAGCAGGCAACTACCAGTGACTCCGTTTCCCAAAACTGACTACATTTGTCACAAGGAACATGAAAACAGTAAAGTCTGTATCTTGGCTTCAACAGCCTAATCTGCATCACCTTGCTTTCTTTGAGTTATTTGACTTTTCAGCTCATCCCACCCTGCAGGGATCATACTTTTCCCTCCCTGACATGCTTTACTGCCGTAAGTTGTTAAGGAGACCATATCACTTGTAAAAGCAAAGACCATCAGACTTCTATATGGACAGTTCTCCAAATCAAGGGATACTGTGTGAGATGATGTGCCCATCACACCCTGATGAAAATACACTCATGTATCCTTTTATGTGTGTTATCCCTTGTTTACTCAGTATTTTAAACTACTATACAAAAACGTTGCCTCTTTTGAGGTTGGCAGGCAAAGATAAGAATTTATTATTTTGTTATTGTTTTGTTACTCCAGGGCCACGCTCGTGATTCCATGAAAACAAACACTGTACTGGAGTCTATTTTGGAAAAGTAGAGATTTCAGTAAAGCAGCACATCAGCAAATCTGCTTAAATATGTCAGAAAGTTTTAAAACCAACCAGAAAAAAAACAAACAAAGAACAAAAAAAGAAAAAAAGAGAAAAAAAAACCAAACAAAAAAAACATGAACCCTGACTGTTATTCAACAGTGTTGAAAACAAACTGCAAATTCTAATCTCTTTGAATAGCTCTAGACATAATTCTCCCCTTCTAACTTTGCAACCCCTGTCTGTAACCAGAGATTATGTGTTACATAAATACTTACAACTGCTAAGATTTGTAAGAAACGTGGGAAGAGGTAGGCTACTGCTACAGAAAAAGCCTTGGCTTACAAAAATACAGCTTCAATATTCTCTTATTAACAGAGAAAAACAAATACAATCCATAAGCAGAAGTGAAGTGTGTTTCTAGATAATCTGCTTCTAACATTCAGCTGAGCATGAAATCTCTTGAAGAAAAGCCTGGTAGGGATCCCAGGAAAACATTCTTTTAGGTCACTGCTGCTTATTTGTTTGATGGGGCACTTCACTTTGTTCCTTTATACTGAGCTGCTTTATATTTGTGTAGTAACAAATTTTTCCTCCCTTTAATCCTCAGCAGGAGCACAAGTCTTTAATATCTTGTCTTTGCCAATGTCAGAGTTTCAGTAAGTAAAGTCTTCATAGAAGGTATTTTACCTGCAAAGTGATATATGAAAGTCTATCTGCCTCTGTGATGGATTGGAATGGTATTTATTTTTCAGTGAATTCTCTGGTTTCCAATATGAAACTATCTTAAATTATCTTAAATTACAAGTCTCAGAACTGTGATGTTACACAGCATGTATTTTCAAACATTCTTCTGCCTTTTGCCTTAATATTTGTTGTGCATCCAAGAAGTAGGAACATAGTGGTTCTGAAGAAGTAAAAATGGTATTAGTGAATCAGAGGCTGGCAGTTTTGTCATGTAACAAGGAGATTCTTCTCATGGTCTGTTTCTGGGTTCTGCAACTTAAAGTGTGTGTTTGTTTCTTCTTTCTATGTGAAATGATATTCACAACCCTCAAGATTCTGTGAGAAGAGACCTTCAGAAAAGGAACCCATGAGAAAAGCAACAAAGCATCATAGGGCTTTCTAAAGAAATTTTCACTGTTTTCTTTCTTTAGTATTCAATTCTAAAGCTATATTTTTTGATTTTATTTAGATGGGATACAGAGATTATATTGTGTTGGATTACTGCTATTTTAGGGAGTCTGGGCCTGAAGGACTCGTACAGTATCACTCCCATGGCTGCTTCTTTGTTACTGTGATTTAGGTGTCCTCTCACTAAGTATTTTCTTCAAGCCACAATGTATTATCCACTGGCAAACTCACCAACTACTTCTTTAAGACCAGTTGGCCATTTCTTCTAACTTGCTCTTAGTCATCTCTCTTTTCTCAAAACTGGGAAGAATATTCATGGGTTTGGCAGAGTAACAACGATCCTGCATCGAACCAAAGCAGCCCTTCTGTGCAGCCAGTCATTAATTCCTCTCTGCTAGCTTGTCATCACCAGATGTCTGCTGAGTTCACACCCTCTGCATTTCCCGTGACTGCACCCACAAGGCATCCACGAATGGTTCTGTATTTTCAATGTGAGCACCACATCCTTTTTTTGAATGTTCCTCTTCACTACCTGAGCAACTGCAGCTGCTCCACAGACCTGCAGCCTCTCTTTAGGTTACATGTCATACCTCCCTCCTGAGTGAATGAGTCTACAAACAGCAGAAGAGTATAATTTACTTTTACTTTAAGAGTTTCAGCACTTGTGTTTTGGAAAGTGGGCTTCGCACGGAAAGTAATGAGAAACATTAGATATCCAACACAGAAAAATATTTCCAGGTTTATATCACCAAGTAAACCACAAAATGGGTTTGTTTGCCATAAGAAGCACTGGCCACGAAGTCTCTCTCTGCCCATAATGAAGCATATCTGAAGGAGGACTCACAGCTACATCTAAGCATGAGAAGTGTGGGCACATTTCCCTGTGGAAATGGCACTCTCTGAACCTGCTCACCAGCAGTAGGTGCAATTAACTGTGTCCAATTTACATTTGGAGCACGAGGGACAAGCTTTCACAGCACGCCTAATGCAGCAAACACAACCAGCTGGGCTCTGTGAACACAGTGCACAGTTTCTCAGTTCAATGGGAAACTTTACCAAATGTATGTGCAAGGTATAATTACAGCATGTCACAAATAAACTTTCGAAAGGATAATTGAAACAACACTCATATCTTGAAAAAAGGAACTGGTTAATTGATGCAGGTTCATAGACATGTGTCATAGCACACAATACAATTAATAAAATATAAACACCAATTTTCAAATCAACACAGCTTGATAACTTGAATTCAAATTTTAGGAACAGCAAAACAGCTAAAAAACACCATAAAGTAAGCCCAATCCTTCAGCTGACTAATAAATATGAAGGAAAAAAAATTGGAAACCATTAATATTTTTCTAACTCCTTAGGGGTCTGTCTTTTATGTTTTTTTCATGCTCTCTGTGGCCACTGAGACTAGTAGGAAACCAGCCAATTTAGTCAAAAAACTTTGCAGCATAGCAGGGAGTCTCATTTGTCATCACATGCAATAGCAGCTGTCTCTGTCAAGAATGAAGTTAATCAGTACAGACCACATAAATTAGGAAATTCTTTAGATGGTTAACAATGTACCTTTGAACGAACAAAGACCAATCTTTGTCTCCTGATACTGGGAAATTTCTCTTTCAAATATGCCAGTTTTGTGGTTTGAAACTAAGGAGCAATGAAATTCCTTAATGTATTTTTTACACAAGTATTTCTGGCAACTGAAGATACTCAGTGCACACAAGGGACACTAAATGTTCTAATTGGAAGAGCTATATCCAGACTCAGGTTTTTTTCACCTTTCTTCACCTTCTTCCATTCTATTCTTAATTATTTCATATTGTTGACTAAGTTTCTAATCCAGGTCAAATTTGAGAATTGCAAGAAACAAAGAGTATAAAACCTTGGGAGTATGTTTCTTCATGTTAAAAAGCCCTGAAATACACTATTTTGAGTTAATATGCTGAACATGTAGCAAATAAATCTCTAAAGATACTCAACTTCATGAAATTTTGCACCCTCCTCAACTTTGGCACTAAGTAAAACAGTTTGTGTGCCATTCAGGAAGACAAAATTTTCTTCTTAAAAATTCATTCCATACAGCCTTGAGAACATTTAGGACCCTTCTAACCCCAAGTATTTTCAGTTTGCACAATGCCTCTAGCCTAAAAACACAGATTGATGATGTGTTTAAAATCATCCAAGGAACATAAATGAAAGAAGAAAGAGCTTTATGCCTCTTTTCTTTACCACCACCTCTGTATGTTTATTATGGAATTTCTATGTAAAGCAGGTAACCCAGCAGAAAAAAATTGACCTGGTCTGTAAAATATGAGAGTTGCCTGTTTAGAACTCTGGCCTACAGCCATAAAAATTTGTTTAGTTATCTCACAGTTATGTCACATACTCCTTCCTCAAAAGATCTGGGCTAGATTAATTTGATACTGTAAAAATATGTGTTATGTGAAAAGACGAGCTGACGTATCAGCCTTCAGTTTTGAGAAGAAAGGGTATCTCAGAGGGCTGACTGGCTCATGATTGCAAGAATGATCTAGGAGTGGGGTAAAAAAGGCCAGTGCTGATGCACCAGCTTAAGGGAAAGCCCAACATTTGTTTATATTATTAAATGACCTTACTATTGGTATAACTCTGTTTATGTTGCAATCGTAAGGTACTGGCAAAGGACACACTCCCAGGTATCTGATGCACAGATCCTGAGGGCATGCTGGGTTCTCAGAACGCTGCTTGCCTGAGCTGATAGAGGGCCTTTTCCAAGGATACCATGTGATGAACACCCTCAATGACTTTTAGAGAATGATACATAGAATAGCAGTGTAAAAGGCAGAAAAGCAAACTGGTTTGTACATAAAGACTTCAGTATTTACCTCACTCCTCCCATCACTGTTCGTTACCTCTTTCTGAAAACAGCAGTGAAGATTTTCACTTTGTTTCAGGTTTTATTTCAATTCTTTCTGCAATTCTTGGGAAAAAAAAAAAAAGATGGTATATGTTGCCTGTTTAACTAAAGGAGCAACAAAAACCTTAAGCAAGATCATTTTGATATAAAAAGAACTGGATCTTTATCACAAAAAAGAACACAAGGAAACTTTCATGTACTACAGAAAACTCAACCTTCAAAATCTGCTAGGCAGTTTTGAGAGGAACCACAGCAACTAAAACACATATTACAATAATTAAATATAAAAGTAAGGGTTGAGCATCACATATGTTATCTACAAAAGTTGTTAGACAATAGATGGGAATGTTAATGCAAAGAATATTCATGTTGTGCTGCTATCAAGGGCATACATCAAAGTGGAGTGCTTTTTTGCAGAATCAAGGGAAAATGACTGTTGTTTTGGCACACAGTATGACATGGCATGTCAAAAGAAATTATAAAATGTTTTCAAGATGTACTGAGTATATCACTTATAAAGTATTGTGTTTACTAGGAAGGAAGAAACAAAAGGCAGAAGAGTTGGAGGATCCTCACAGCCCTTAAAGCAGCCTAGGTAAGCATGGTTACAACTTTTGGGCTTTTGCAACCTAGGCCTAGTCTTCACAGACAAGCTCTGTGTGAGCAATATGGCACATAGGGATTTACAGAACCTACATAAAATTTAAAATTTCTTATTTGAAGTGATTCCATTTTGAGAAGCTTAAAAGTATCTTTTCCTCCTGAAGATTCCATAAGATGTTGATTTAGAGTTCCATTTTACGTAGAAAAATGCTCTAAATTTCTCTTGTAAGCATCTCACTGGAAATAACAAAGCCATTCATAGGTTTGCTCAAATATATTTTAAATTGGTTGATGGACTAACATTGAAGGACTAAGTAGAGCTATGGATTCACTTCCCATGAGTGATTTTTATAAAATTTCCATATGTCAGTGACACTATGTCATTTAAGGACCTTTTTTCTAAATCACATAAAACCGATTTAAATCAGTTACTGTTTTTAATCAAATTCTGCTGCCCCAACTTAGAGCTTGTCCTTTGAATCCATAAATTACCTGAAGGAAATTTACCTTGAGTATGATAAAGTATTGACAAACACGTAACTCATCCTCTGACAATTCCTGGTGCTTGTGAAAGACGTTCAGTGGTGAAAGCAGCTGTGCCAGCAGCTCCTTCAGTGCAGTTACAATCTTACTTGACAACACCACAAAAAACTGAGAAAGCTGAACAGTTTCCACACTCCTGATAACTGACATATTTCGTGTTTTCCTCTTTATGCTCTATTTTGAGTAAGTAAGGGACATTCCAATATTTTTAGATTCCTTTTTTGTTTGCTTTCTCTGGTGATTGCTTTTAGCAGTGAGGAGTGAGGAGCTTTGGAAGTGACTGTAGGTTTCATAAACTGTATGCACGTGCCTCTGGGAGCACCTCTGCAGTCTGCAAAGGTGGTAGAAAACACAGGAACAAGTTTCAAACAGTACTAAAATACTCTCTCGTAGTAATTTTTATTACAGCATATTCTGACCTTTTAAGTCATAAGGAACTGATATTATTACTGTACTTTTGGTAAATGGGAATCATCAAACTACTGTTCCTCAAGATCATTCTGAACAGCTGCAAGGACAGTTGCCTCTCTGGGGCTGCTGGTGGGGATGAAGGAGGGCACAGAGTAGTCTCTCCCTGGTCCCACCTCATGCTGTCTGTGCCAGATAAGGCACTGTCCAACTGGGAGCTGGCTCTGTAATCTCTATCACTGCTGGGAGGGAGGAGGGAGCCTCCACAATGGAATTGCTGCAGTACAGATCACAGTACAAATTCAAACTTAGTACAGGCTGAATTCTGCAAGAGGAAACTTCACACCAGGTGTCAGAATTGTGTTTTGGACATTAAGAAACTTGGGTTTGGTCCCGTTTCTTAACCAATATAAATCACAAATATGACTTGGAGAACTCTTTATTTGGCATCTGTAGCCAAACAGTTTTCTCAGCTCCTGTTCAGAGTGTGTTAAAATTATTACTGTAAGCATTAACTGGATAACTTAGCTACAGTCTGATAGTCATGTGTTGGCTAGTTGCTTCGATGTCAATATGCTTTTTGTTTGCTGACATTATTTTAGTATTACCAATAGTTTGGGTAATATGTCTTCTTGTTTATATTTGGGAGTATTAATAAAGCACATAAGACCTGTCTTACAGTTCTTTCAATAAGAAGCCCATGAAGTTTTGAATAGATGTTCCCTGACTAACATAAGACCGTGACCAGTTTCCTCTGTTAGCCTGTGGCTCTCACACCTGGATTAATCTTGGAATGTAGTCAGCAGGTAGGAAGGCAGTAGCAGAAGAAGGATGGCCTTGTGCAAAGACTGACAAAAATTCACAGCACTCACTGTCACAGTATCAGCACAGTCTTGTCACTTTATTCCCTCTTATATCACTCCTTTGGGGAAAGGAAAGGATTTCAAACTGGGGTGTCAGTAAAAGTGCCACTACTGCTGGTTGGACAGAGGGAGAATCTAAAGGTGTCTGGGTTTACTGATGATTCACAGTAATAAACTGTTGGCTGCCACTCTGCTTTCACCTTCATCAGTACTCTGTGACTGTGTCTTCTCTGTGCTCCCTAGCAAGTGTTCAGAGAGCTGACCAACTGAGACTGAACTTCTGAAAATACAAGCTGCATGAATGAATCAAAAGCTACATTGCTAAATTCCAGGGGAAGACCAAGATATTTGAGGTTTCAAATCAGTCCTTTACAAGCCTCCCAACTGGATTCATTATGAAGTCGCTCATCTTCTAGATGGAACATAATAATTCAACAGAGAAATTCACAGGCCTTTAAATGGTTGTTTTGCTTTCATACTTTGTTTTTGTGAAAAAGATTAGAGTACAAAGCAAAACTGTATCACTATCACAAGAAACTTCTAAGCAAAACAAAATTAACATGAGAAGCAAGTAGAGCATTACAGAGAAAAATGGTGCTACTCAAGAAACAGATAGTACTATTAAGATCGTTTAGTTGGCAAGACAGAAAGCCTGGACTGATTGCCAGCAGAATGGCAACAGAAACATTCAGAAAAATTCCAGTCTCACAAATATTAGGCCACATGGGAACATTTAAATGCAGTGCAGTTTGCTTCCCTAACGAAGTGATGGGGAAAAAAATGTTTCTTTTATTTTAGCAGAAGAGAATTTTATATTTGGTAGAGGAGAATGAGTATAAGCTATAGGCAGAATTTTAATCTAGATTGGCATTCCACTCAGGCAGGGAGTAGGCAAAAAGGCTTGTCTTAGCTGATGTATTTTGTGATTGCTGTAAGATGGGGTAGGATTCTCCAGTCCTCGCTCGTTCCTCGCTCAGTGTCTGGAATGCACAGGTACAGGGAGCTCCTCTCTGCTTGGAAGCGAAGCAGCGTGTGGTTTGATCTGGGAGCATAATTCACTGGTGGCATGAGACCAGGATATAGATAATGGCATATCTAGAAACTCAGTAACAGACTATTTCAGCTGGAAGCTGCAGTGTTTGAAGGAGTGCAGCCCCACCCTTGGACACTGAGGAGAAATCATAACCAAGTTCTTGTACTGTAAAAGAAAGTTGCTGAGTTTTTTTCCTAATACCTTCTTTCTCATTTCTACCCTTTGCTGTGGTCTGTCTCCACAGGGAGCAGGATCTAGCTCTGGCAGCACTAAAATTTTTATGTGATGTTTAATAAATGGGTCTTGGTTTCAGTCTCTTTTCCATAAGATGTCATTTGAATTTTAATATATTTAGCACAAAATATAAAGCCTATCCCTGTGCAGGTATTTTACCTGTTACAAAAACTGCAGACATTCCACTTGACTGCTGTGAAGGATTATACCTGAAGAATACTAAGATACATAAATATTTGCACAATGACATGAACTTAAGCTGTGCAGGACAAACTTTGCCTAGTCAAACAGAATCTGATGAAAAATGTTTAGATTTAGAGAAAGTTCATATATTTGTACCCCATCTTCAGAAAAACAAGCCGGTGAAAAAGATACCGCTAGAGTCTGAGGGATAAATTGGACATGAATTTTCACATTTATGTTTTTTAGATTTGTTTTGTACTTAGAATACAAGGAAGCCTATTAGAGTATGTATTGCAACTTTAGAAAATCACTTGTCTCTGAAATATCCAAAATGGTCACTCATGACTTAGAAAAGCCTGAGGAATTTAATGCAGAAAGGTGATTTTCATAACCTTACACGACAGGAAGCACGTTGCATGCAGGATCTCTTGTAATGAGCTGGGCACAGCACCTCAAGTGCAAGGAGGGCTTTAACTTTGAAGTCTATACTCTATGTTTCTGTAATCAAACATGAAAAATATTAAATTCAATATCAATTCAATATCAAACATAAATAATCAAAATCAATTAAATTCGATATCAAACATAAGTAGTATTAAATATCAGAGAGCTGGCAGGTCACAGTAATGCATTGCCACACTAGAGACAGTCATGGTGGTAAAGCTGCACAACAGTGGAAAAGTAGTGGGGATTCAGTTCATTTCTCATATGTGTTTATTTGTTATTGGTGGGGAACATATTTGTTGATTTACTTGAATAATGCTGCCATTTTGCAATAGGCCATTAGTAAACATTTAGGGATCTTCATTTTATATATAGTTGGCCCAGTAATCAATCTGTTTATTACTTTAATTATTCTTGCTACAAAAAGGCTTTTATATACTTAAGAAAGAAGATAAACAAATTGGAAAGTGTCCTGCTGGCACACCAACATTTGGGAAAGGATACAGACAGTACATCCTTAGACATTTATATTTATTTCCATACTACAAACTGCTAAGATACTTTATTCTATGCAAACACTGGCAAGAGATCAATATAAACAAAATGATCCCAGATGAGCAGCTCCAGCTCATTGTTTATGGCCATTTCTCATGCAACTGCCTGGTTTGGCTGTTGAACAATTGCTGGTGTTCCTGACTGGAAAGTATCAGTTACTTTCCCCGTGAAGAATCTCACAAGCGAGGAGTAAGTGACAGTGGAAAATTGTATACTATGATGATATAAACGATATAAAAAATCATGGGTTGAGGATAAATCTTTTATTCATAACCATCATTTTCATGCTATTGCATCTCTATTTATCAGCCTCCATAGCATGTCACTTCTCCCATCCATTCTTTTGGCACTGCAGCCAGTAAGATGGATACTCAAGATCTCTATCCAAACATGCATTTTCTAGAACATGAGGTAAAACCAGATGGAATCTGAATTACAAAAGTACAGTAATCACAATGCATATTAATAACCTGTAAAAGTAGACTGAGTCTTTGAAATGTAGTTTACATATAGTCTTTGTATGTAGTGTCTGAAGGTCTTATTTATTATTATTGATTATTTATTAGACATTACCTCCAAACTTCCAAAAATAGCGACTTGTATTTAGAAATATCAACAATAAAAACTGAAGTCCTTCTGTTTTGGAATTAGGGTTGCTTAATGTCACAATTTAGGATGTTTTTATTACTTAACGGTAATTAATAAAATATTGTTTCAATTGTTCTTTGA